GAGACTATGATGTAAAAGAAATGCTAGGATATAATTTGATAATTTAAAAATTTTGAAATTATTTTTAATATCAAAATTATTGAGGTTATTAATAGTTAAAAAATAATAATAGTAATTTTTAAAATGGTTTACAATTATTACAAAAAATATTGATAATTCCATAATAATGATTGATAATTATTTTGTTATTCAATAATTTGATAATTTCAGTAGTTGTTATTATCAATATATTAGTCATTATTAAAAATAATTATCTATAATTTTGACTATTAATAACCTCAATAATTTCAAAATTATCAAATTATTGAATAACAAAATTACTGTAATTACTCAATTTTCCACATTTATCAAGTTTCTGAAATAACAAATCATTGAATAAAAATTAATTTTAACAAATTATTGAATAACAAAAGTTATTTTAAAAATCATTATTATTTTTGAATTATCAATAATTTCCAATAAAGTTGAAATTATCAACAATTTCTACTGGATAATTATAATTGTTATTATTATGTAACTATCATTTTCGAAATTATTATAATTACTATTATTATTTAATAAAAATTATTATTATTCAATAATTCTCGTTATTATTACTGATTTTCTCATAATTACCCTTAATGAAAATAGATAAAAAGAAGTTGAAAGTAAAATAATGATCATTTCAGTTTTAAAATTAGTGTTATTATTATTTAATTATCAATAAAAATTGCCAGTAATTGTCATTGTTTAATAAGAAATTGCTGAAATTACCATATTATGAAATTACGAAATTATTGAAAATTATTTTAATTAATGGCAATTATTGGAATTGGAATAATTATAAATTATCAAATTATTGGATAASAAAATAATGGTTTTCTTATGGCATTTTTTAGGGTGTTAGTAAGCATTTTCAATTTCTTAACAGTTTCTGTAAATTTTTGTACTGTTTTAGGAGGATAGGAGGACAATGTTTTGTTCAGAACATGAATTAGATACCATGACTGAGGATTATGGTATGTTGATTCAATGATARATTTCAAGTTGTCGATGTAGGCATCAAGAACATAAAGATGCTCTAGCAATTCTTTAATTTCAGGCCAATTTAGTTCAAAGGTCCTAAGAATAAGTGCTTAGTTGATGATTTGGGTCACAATGGATATGGAACTATTGAAACTAGTCAAGTTGATTATTCGAGAATGAACAAATGAGGAAAAAAAAAAGAAAAGAGGTGATACCTTACTTGGTTAATCGGTTAAGTTGCAATTCTGCCATTGGTTGGAAAAGATGATGGAGAAGAAAGTATCGAAGAGCCTAACCCTATGTTTTTAGACAATTGAAGGGCATAAGTGGCATTTTGAAATCTAACTAGGGACAACTTTGGAATCAACATTTTGAATAAGCACTTAAAAGAAGTTGAACTTTTAGGCTTCTTCAATAAGCACTTATTTTGAGCTTATTTCCCAAAATAAGTTCTTATTCATATAAGCACTTATTATTAAGCACTCCCAAACTTGGCCTTAGTAGTTGATGAGCTTTAAAGTTGATTGCATTGGGTGATTTTTTGTTATGAACATTCATTGGGTTATTTAAATCTTCAATCATATTTTTTTTCGTCTAAGCATGTAAAGCATGTCAAATTATGAGTAGTTTATCAAACTGAGTAAACTTCCACAACTTCAATCTTAATTGTCTAGTTCAATTTAGCTTGGTCCCCATCCTGATGATTAGCTTATAATCTTCATTGTTTGATTATAAGCTAAAGTTGGTTTATAAATTGATGAAGAATTGAGATATTATTATTATTATTTTATTATTATTATTATTATTATTATTATTATTATTATTATTATGAATAAGGCAAGATAAATTTATTAGAAAAGAAAACAAAATATACAAAACATATATAAAAAGCAGAAAACATAGACAAAGCAGATCGCACAAGCCACTCCAACAAAACAAACTTTAAGTGGGCTTGAAATTGCAAGAACAAGACCTAACAAAGATAGCACCCAAACACAAAGACCTCGGTTATCCTACCTACAGAGGCCTAGACAATGCCTATACAAGGGTTTTGTATGTCTTATGACTTATATCAAGACCACTATAACAGATTCTAAACAGAGACTCCATATCTTTCTCATAATACAAGAAGAAGCTACAATCCATGAAAACAACAAACAAGAGGAAAAGTAGAAATGAAGCATATAACCAAAATAGCATCACATACAACCCTAAATATTAATCGTTCAAGAGAAGCCCTAAACGGGGATGGGGAAGATAAATAAATGGTTTAAGAAATAGTAGCACATACAACCAACAAATTTAAACCAGCAATGTGGTAAGAAATGAAGAAACATATAATTGCATCATTGTACCTCAACCTAATCTCTCCCAGCCTTTAAATCAGGTTAAGGTGTACACTGTGCCCTAGTACATTATTAGCGCTACTTTACGAGACTGGATCTGCTCCTTATAAAGCGTGCCTCACACCGATCTCATAGCATGTCTTAGTCATACATCAGAAACATCTCCCTAGTTTGTATTTATTATTCATGAGGAGATGTTCTCAATACAAGGTTGAATACAGTTGTAAGAACGGTGTGAAGCAGGCTCTTTGAAGAGCAGATCCCAATTCCTACCTTGCTACCCAACACTTGAAATTTGAACAAGGTTGGTGGGTCCATTGGATTCAGTTTTTGCCCAACTCAGTATCCTGGTCTATGCTCATCTCAAAAGATCATGGAGTCTGTGATCTTTGGAATAGAGGCATGGCTCAGGGCACCCAACCCATTCAACACAATTCATGGTTGTTTTAGTAAAGTTGATCTGCTAACTGAATCATTACTACTTACATCCACGGATATTAGCCAAACGCACCATTCAACCACAAGCCCAGCAATCAACAATACAGGAGGCTAAAAATGATTTTTCCGTCAGCTCCAAGCTTTACTTGCTCAAAGTTAGGCCATTGGTGTTATAAATGAATGCCAACCCCACCCAACATTACCACACAGAGAAAGGCTATTTGAGTGCAAAACTGTGGAGGGGACAATGCGGTAGGTGAAGGAATCTTCCTTATCATTACCTCAACCTTGGCCCACTCACTCCAAGCTGTCAGAGTATGGGCAATAGAAGCCATGGATGAGTGTTTCTATAAAAGGTTCTGCGTATATGTTACTACAGTTTTTCTCTTTTATGGTGGCTAAAATTTTCTGTTAAATTTGAATGAAGTTGTAGTATCTCAAGATGGGATTTAGATGATTAACATACTTTGAATCATGGTTTTAAAAAGGGTTTCTAGCCGTTAAGGGCAAYTTTTTGCCCATAATATTAATAAAAATAATATTTTTTATATAATAATTGAAATGAGATATCTTTTTTTTGAAAAATATCAARTAAGGACATTCATCTTCGTATTGGGGTGGCTTTTCTGTTAATGTTTGCCGTCGATAAGTCTAAATCGAGTGATGACCTCTCAGCCAGACCAAGACCTTCAAAAGCAGGCTCCTCCAATCCATTTGAACTCAAACTGCTTCAGTAGCGAATCCATCACATACTTCATCTCAACAAAAGCCATCTCTTTTCTCAGTCACACCTTGCGTCCGGCTTGAAACACCAGGAACTTGATCTTCAACAGCGAAGACGGGAGCAGATGCACACCTGGCGCTTATCTCGGAGGCTATGTCGAAAGCTCCGGCCAGAACCTATACGTGAAGCAAAGAATCCAAGCAACCAGGATCGATTCCCAGCGACACCATGCACACTGTGTCGAAGGCAAACCTCCTTAACAAGTCCTGTAGGTCTACTACTTGGCTGGTTTCCATTGCAAACACAAGTACCGGTGTCAAGTGATCTGTCACTACTTCCTCCAACGTCTTCCCGATGAATTCCCGCAGTGACTTGGTACTAAACTCATGGCTTGCTAACTTGCGCTAAGCGCGCCAGACGAGCAAGTTGAATATACCACAGCCGAGCATGTCTCTCAAGATGTCAGTGAAGGGTTCACCATGATGACTGTCCATCTTGCACTGAAACGACGTACCACGATTGTCTGCATCAGGGATTCTGTGAGGAGGTCCGTGTACCAGTCTAAGAGACGGTAACGGTTCTTGTAGAAGGAAATCAACCACCCAATTAGAGGGTAGGTTGGTAGGCCATCGCCGGAGGACTTACATAGAGGTAGAGGAAGATGATCAACAGTGACACTGCCCTTGTTTGATATTTTCCAAAAAAAAAAAATACCCAGTTTCGGTTATTATATAAAAATAGTATTTTTTATTGTATTAAGGGCAAAAAGTTGCTCTTATCTGCTATTAACCCTTTTTAAAACAAGACGGGACTAGATTATCGGACCGGTTGATCCGGGAACCGTCCAAGCAACCGGTTCMGTTTCACCCTAAAATCGTTCCCAAGCCAAAAAAAAAACGTTGATTTGATCAGCAACCTGCTGACCGGGGCAGTCAAACTGTCAACCTAGACAAAGGTTTTTTGACCTTTTTATATTAATTATTCTTTTTTTAATGAGAATGGGCCATCCATTCAAACCAGATGGTTGGACCATTTGACTCGGGAATCGGTGGCCAAAATGGTTTTTTAGTTTTTTAAACCTTGCTTTGAATACAGTCTAAAGAAAATTTGTTAAAAAAAAATAACAAAGACAGACAAAGAAAGAAAAAACAGAGGCTGAGCTACTCGCATGCATGAAGGAAAAAATTAGGCTTAAGTCTTAAAGACGCATTTTCTAAAGCCTTCACAATTCACCCCCTAAAATAGTTCGATTCAAGACTCTCATGGGTACTTTTTAACCATTTTGTTGTGCTCTAATTTGAAATTCAGGGATGATGGTTTATATCCTCTAAATATTATCCAAGTAAGTTACTGCAAGTCTGCAATTGAGATTTGAATCTTAGGCTGTGTATATAGCCTTGGAATTTCTCATCTTGATCCACAGTGAAATCATATTGAATAGGAGATGCAACCCTGAACTGACTACATGCCACATAGAACGACTGCAGTTATTTAAATACAGATATACTATTCAATTTCCCAATGCTTTGAGACTATATATGGTCTTTCTTTGTTTAATAAAATTTACAAGCCAATTCATAGCCAAGAAATGAAAAATAGATACATGGAAAACATTATGAAGCATAGATTCCAAAAACAATCACAACTATGATCACTCCATATAAACACTAGCAATAGGTCGTTTCAATCAACAGATGCATTACATTCTTCCAGAAGTTGGATGATATTGTGCTCTGGAGCACTAAGGGATGGTAGAATCGTGCGATTAGACTGGGGTGGTCTTTGCTTTCTTCCAGCCACTTTAGGTTCAAGATGTGACCCTTCTTTCATAACTGGCAAGTCCGCCTTCCTCCACACATTTGCAGACACGCGCTCCTTCCATATTCTTCCATCCTAAAAAAATCAAGGCACTGTACATTAGAACTTCAAGAGGATGAGAATAATTTTTACCTGATTTKAATCCCATCCCCAAGACGTTTATGGGATCTATCAATGTATAAAGATGATCCCTGGGACCAAAATGGAAACTACCAAAGTTATTTGTAAACAAATGGTATCTTACTTCAATAAAGCCCTATCCAACTATTTGGCGTCAGTCAGCAACACTTATTCCCTTCACCATTCTATCAATGGTCATATCCTCTATTAAATGATCTCTGTATGCAAGGTTACAAATAAGAAAACCTTCAATTGGGTAAAATAAAAGTCTGTTGAAAGCAGTGTTTTAAAAGGTGTGGGAGGTGAGCACCTGGAGGCACCTCCAGGCAAGGTGCCCCCAAAACGCCCTGAGGTGTATGCCAGAGGTGTTGACACCTCTGAGGCGTACGCCTCATGCACAACTCATATAAAAAGACAAAAAAAAAGAAAAAAGAAGATAAAGGGAAGGGAAGGGAACGGAAAGAAAAAGAAAGAAAAGAAAAGAAAAGGAAAGGAAAGGGAATGGAAGAGAAGGGGAAAGAATGGCTGGGGGGCTATGCATCTTCATTTTTCTTAACATAAAAGATTTTCTTTGTTCCCACCTTCTCACCTTTTCTTTCATCCAAATTAACTTGGATGGCTGAACAAGGGATTTTTCTTTTAATGGGCAATGGGTCAGCAATCATTGGATAGGATGGATTGTACAGAAAAACAATCTGCCCTTGGTTACCTTTTGTTGGAATTTGTATCTAGTAAGTTCAGGAATAAAGAGGAGTTTTGTTTTGAGATCAAATGCAGAGGTAAAGCACTACAGTCACGAATGACATGCATGGGTTAATATGGTTCTAGGATCTTTCATCAATTTGGATTTCCTATTTAGTCAATGTGGCTGCGATCATACTGCCTCCAAGCCTATGATCCACAAGAAATAGAAGCCTAACGAGGTTTCTTATCACATTAATTTGCTCATCTTTAATATAAGAAGATAACTTCTAAGCTCTACAACAAATTTCAACGGAAAACTATATGTACACCTCAGATGACTTCAATAAAAGAATAGGACGCCATCTGTGCATAACAAGACTAGTATCATTTTCACTTTTCACATTCCCTTCTTTCCCTGCTATCTCTTCAAGTTTCTAATCAAACTAATATGTCTAAATGAAAGAGATGAGCTCCCCCCCCCCCCGGCCCTCATTTCTCTTCATCAATGAGCAAACAAATGTCAATGAGGTTGGAGATTTTGTAACATCACCGACACTCCCATAGTAAGGACTGAAATACATGAAAAGTGTAAAATAAAAAATGAGTTTATTATCCCAGAGCTTGTAATATGCTCTCTGACATTGGTAACCACCCCTGACTTGAAGTCCTACAGAATTACTTACTTTGTCAATTCCCACAGTCCTTTCTTTATGGAAGAAGCTGATATTTAACAACTTTGTTTTCCCCAATTTTTCAGAATGCTTACACTCCTTTCTCATCATCTCCTTGTGAATATCCATATCATGTGTTTCATCCAAAACCTTATAACCGAGGCACAGAAAACTTCTAAACTAGACAACTTTTGAACCAAATGGACAACAAAACCACCAAAAAATTAAGCAACCAAGTAACGAACTTCTCCATCAAACTTTTACCAAAGAAAGGAAGGAAGGGAACTAACTTCAACCTTTCCAGGGAGATGCACAATAAAATAAAATAAAAAAAGTTTCTTCCATCTCCTTGCACATCACCCATGCAAGTTAGGAAACAACATAAGCCAATGTTAAAGTATTCCTCTGGTGGATGTTATTTTAATTATATGAGATGTAATGCAAAAGCAAATCAAAAAAGAAAGAAAATGAATAAATAATGAACAATCTAGTCAACAAGAGGTAATAAAACATAGAAGATGTTGGAAACTTATTATGGTTATGGAAAATAAAAAACTAATTCTAAACCCTGGATGGTCAGGTGAATATAGTTAGGATACAAATTAACAATGACATATAAGTGGCTGACATACACAAGAATGCAAAGATGAAAATTGTTCACACCCATACAGTATGGAATAAGTAAAAGTCCTAATTACTACAATGGCTACTAGGCATAACCTGTTCAGTCATCAAAGAAAAAATCTGTAACTCCAAATATATGCCAAATAAAGCATGTCATATCAACAAGTTCAAGGTAGATAACCATGCGATTATTCTTCATTTCCAAAGCTACTTTATTTAAGCAAGAAGATATAAAGTGTCTTATTTTTGTTAATATGATTTGGGCTTACATTAAGAATAGAAGGTTCTGGTAGTGGGCATTTTACTGGTCGATCATTGTTGAGAGGCTCAATTGGGTGCTCAACTGGCTTAAACTCTACTGCCACTTCAATCCCATGAGCAGCAGCTGCTGATGATGCAACCCCTGCAGCCTCAGCATTTGGTGGCAATACCTCCCTCTGATCCTGCACAATAAATCCAACCACTTTCATTTATAAATAAATGAGTATCATAAAATTAACTAGAGGTGTTGGGTATGGATCAACTGTAAATGAAAAGTGATTCCTCAAAACGCCACCAGAAAATTAATAAGAGGTTAGCTCAATGGATAATACTAGACAAAAAAGAACCAGAAAGTCCGGATCATCATAGACTCAATTATCAGTGAAGATAGGAGAGGATTAATGCGAAGTTACAATTGGTGTCAAGGGCCTAAGGAATTTATAAAACAAGGATAAATAAAACATATCCAAACGATGGGGAACCAGTCAAAAAAAAACAGCCAACAAAAACACATGACAGTATATGATGTATCCAGAAATCTAGGAACAAATTAGAAAGATCAAATATTACACAAGAAAGAGAGAAGAAATAAACTATTAACGAAAACCAACCTAAAAAAGGAAGTGAGATCCAAAGAAGTCTAGCTTAAATGTAGGAGAAGTCAATCCTATTGAGACACCCCATAAATTTGATGAGAAACCAACAGAGCTTCAGAAAATTGAGAGGAAAAACAAGGAAAAGATCGGATCGCAATAAAGATAATCCAAAGGCCCAATAGTCTGGGACCAAAATCAAAGTCAAATCCACAGCTGCTATTTATAACACCCTATAAATCAGGAAGAATCAAGTCCGCTTCTAAAAATTTCGGACAAGAGGAAAGGTTAAACTAATTCAAGAAGAAGCACCAGAAAACTGACAATGGATCAGATACAAACATCTCAACAGCCTAACACGAAACAGAAAAATCGAGACGAACAAATGAAATAGGTAAAACTAAAACGAACAAAAAACTTAAAAATATTAACAATCAACTTACAGGAAATCATCAAAGGAGAAAAATGCAAAATACCAAACACCCAAAAACCGGAAACTATTAAGCAAGTCAAGCAATTAAGGATAAAGAGAAGAAATAACAAGAAAAAGCTTCCTACCAAATACAATTAAGAGGTGGAATGCTTACGACTGAGCTTTGTGTCCGTCGATGGCTGTTTCGGCTTCCAGAGAGTCGTGAAAAGAGACCCACCATTTTTTTTCTTCTCAATTTTGCTGGTCTTGTATTCTCGCCTTTCTTCCAACGAATCTGTCTTCCTGTCCCTCCCCCTCCCCCCTTCTCTCTCTCTCTCTCTCTCTGGGCAAAGAAAGAAGAAAACAAGACAGATTCTTCTATACCTTCCTTCTGGCTTCCGAGTGCAGGAGAGATGATAAGGATGATTGGCCTGTCGGGTTCTGTTTGTATTTTCTTCTCTCTACGTGTGAAGTTATTATATTTGACATGGTTGAAAAAGCTGTGAGAAGCCTGAAAACGACGATTGGGCCATGAGAAGAATCCACGCAATACAACCCAAATTTAACTCTCCCATAGGTGAACGTAAATCTAAAGCAAAAGGAACTAACAATCGGGCTGTGTAACCAATGATAATGTTTTAAAATACATGGAATGTAACCATTTTACGGTGGAGCTAGGGCTGTTCATAAGAAGACCCAATCCAATCGGTTACAACTCACTTASTTCCTACTTAACTAAGTTATCTCTATCCTAGTTACAACCTAACTTAATTTTTAGTCTTTTAGTTAGGAATGATATTAATGGCAAGTATTGTAAGATTTTGGAAAAGTTTAAAGAAAAGAATCAAAGGATCCTATTTTCTATGGTCTTTTACACCAAATAAGCAACCAATTACAATTAGAATTAGGTGTCATTTTTTACTTAGATTATAAGGTTTCTTGAAATATACAAATTTCAGTCTTCTTTCTCTGATACAGTTTGACTTTCTATTTTCTTGATAACTTCTATTCTAACATGGTCCACCCCCCTTAGCCCCTCAACTCAAGCACAATATCTAATACAATTTCACTCTCAAGAATCAAAATTTTGAAATTTCAATTTATTACCATGGTTGAACTTAGAGCCGAAATCGACCCAACCTGACTCAAACTGACCAGGTCGGTTTTGCTTAACATAGGGTCGGTTTTGGTTTCAATTTCAGGTAACCCAACCAGGTCGGGTCAGTTGGAAAAATCTCAGTAAACCGACCCAACCCGACCCGTGAACAGCCCTAAGTGGAGCCATGAATTTGTGACTGACATGAATATTATCATTGGTAGTACAGCCATCGCATTCAGCTAATCCGAACCAGTAACAACCGCCCAATGTAGATAAATACCAGACACGACATCTCACAAACCCACTAGTTGTTGCTGACCAGTTGGATACTAACACCCCTGCTTTAAACAGTGAATGTGGAATAAAGGAGTACTTAACCACTCCCAATTTTACCCAAAATAACACTATGGTCCAAATTCAATGTTTGGATCGTCTAATCTATTCAAATCTGTTTTAATTTATATTAATTTCAATCCAAACCCGGTCCATTGACACCTATATTCTTATCTTATATCTGTGAATTAGATATTGAATTGATCCAATCTAATCCAATATAAATTTATTATAGATGAACCAGGTCCAATCCAATCTAATAAATGTTGTGGACGGGATTGGCTTATCCATAACTTGCTCCCACATCCATACCCACATAATACCACCTGAGGATAGGGGTGTCAATTGGACTGGATTTGGTCCAATCCGACCCAATCCAATGTAAGTCCATTATAAATGGACCAGATCCAATCCAATCTAATGAATGTTCTGGACCAATTTGGACCGATCCAATTCAATGTTTGGACCGTCTAATATGTTCAAATTCATTTTGGTTTAGATTGGTTAATCTAAACCCAATCCATTGACACATATATTCTTACTAGTGGAGGGGCACTACTTCGTAGGGGCTAGAATAGAACAGCCGATCTGTTGATTCGTTGATCCAGTTTGTGGCAAAAAACCGTTGAATCAGACAATGATCCATTGACTTGAGTAATCAAACTATCGACCCGTTGACCTGTAAAATGGTTTTGGGCTGTTTTTTTTTTAATTGGGAACCATTCAGGCAACCAGTTCCGTTTTATCCTAATCTCGGTTTCTGGCTAAAAATCATTCAATCGGTCAATGACCCATTGACCCGGGTGGTTGAACCATTGACCCGTTCAATGGTTTTTTGTCATTTTTTTTATTTTTCAATTTTTGTTGTCATAATGGGCCATCTGTTCAAACCGAACAGTCGAACCATCGACCCGAAAACCGGTGGCCAGAATGATTCCATTTTCAGGTCATATGAGTCACACACTCGAATGACATAACACGTATGGTATTGCTTAATGGACCTCACACACTCAAAATTTTGCCTGTAATTTTTGTTGTCATAACAGGCAACCAGTTCCGTTTTACCCCAATCTTAGTCCCTGGCCAAAAACCATTGAATCGGTCAATGATCCATTGACCCGAGTGGTCGAACCGTCAACCCATTGACCTGTTCAATGGTTTTTGACCATTTTTTTATTTTTGTTGTCAGAACGGGTCATCCGTTCGAACTGGACGGTGAACTGTTGACCTGAAAACCAGTGGCTAAAACGGTTCCATTTTCGGGTCGTATGAGTCACACGCTCGATTGACATAACATCATGGTTTTTAAAACCGACCCAGAGACCAAACTAGTCAGGAGTCTGGTTACCAGATTGAACTGTCGACCCAAAAACCGGTGGCTAAAACGGTTCCATTTTCAGGTCGTATGAGCCACAC